AATAAAACGTTGTGGAATATTTAAATGTCAAATTGGTTCTTATCCTTAAGGATAAGTTTAAACAACACAAGACCTAGTCACAGTGAAATGTTAAATTGCCTGGTGTATGATCAAAGTGCTGTCGGACTGAAGTTCCCTGTGTTTTCTAATATAGAGGCAAGCGATTAAGGTACAAATACCCAGTTGGTCATAACCTTGTCTCTCGAAGCTTGGATGCGACTCCCACAGTGACTCCCCACTCTCCATCCCAGTTGCATGGCTACCTTTGGCCTCTGCCCTTCAAATGCCTGCACATATCAAGGGTACCCTTCCTCCACACATCCGATCCCTATATAGTCTTAAATGTTCCACAAATGTCTACCAAAGTGTGTAACTTTATAACTAGGAGAAAGGCTTTTGCAGTCATACAGATCAGTCTGTGAGCAAAGAGCCCACCTCTGTAGTTTCCTCATCTGCAAAACAAGACTAAGAGGGTTGTTAAAAGCAATATATCAAATTATTTATGTAAAGCATTTACAACAATATCAGGCACACTATAAACTCTCAATAAGAGAGGGCTAATTTACATACCTGAAACAGTACTACGAACAATTGTTACCTTAAAAAACATAACCGTGGAAATCGGCCTATCCTATTGTTTACCTTGCCACAGCTATTTAAATTCACAGCTGATCTAAATAGGACTTTGTATAAGGCCCTGATCCAGGCTTTTTTCAGAGGTCACGTCTCCTGCCTTATGAAATGTTCTATTGCAACTTTTTTAAATGATGATTGGTACTAAGAATAGAAATATGTCCCTTTCTTGTGTTCTTTCTATGTAGAAATGTTAAAATAATTTAGAAGTAAAGGAATGCAGAGTTCATTTGTTATTCCATTTGTTGCATGGACTAAGAGATGGTACAACGCATTCCAACACTGCAAGAGAAGAAATTTATTTTGTTCTAGTGTTAAAAGAAAGAAAGAAAAGGATAAATTCATTGTCAATGTCACCAAAAGATATGCACTGTTTCTGTAATTTAGAGTATCACCAAAGCACACAGACCATAAAAAAATGATATCCAACATTCTGAGGATAGCAGCTTCAAAATGAAGTGTTTAATAGATACCTTCAGTTGTAATCATCAGTGAAGCGAAAAGGTCTGGCTTCTGAAATGTTATAGAGCTGATTCTGTAACTGTTTAGAACGCTTTGCTTCCAGCCGGAGCTGTCGAGTTCTTTCTTTGAGTGCTTCTTGCTCCAACAGTTTTTCTATCTGTTTCCTTCTTAGCCATCTGTAGAAAGAGACATCATCAGATCTGGTGATTACCAACCTAAAGATACTCTTCGTGCTATAAAGTTATTACTCCAGAAAATGACAGGAAATTGAATTTCTTTACATTGAAATGCTATAGTCACAACCCAAATTATTCAAGTATTAACTGAAAAACTTCAGGCTTATACCTTAGGCTCATGTAAAAAAAAAGTATAGTTACATTTGGTATCAAATGTTTAAAATTAAGTTTGTCTTACGAAATTGACAACATAATTTTTTTTTAGTAACAAACACAATATTTTTTATCTGATATAGGTCCTATACTTTTTTTTAAAATATGGTTTTCTAAGCAAATAAGTATTTGATACATTCCAAATAACTCATTTGTTTGCAACTGGCTGCATTCTAAAACTTCACTTAACCAGGTTAGGAACGCTGGCATGCACAAATGTTGCCTTGCTTCCCTTGGCACGGAAAGTATAGAGCTCTTGCTTGCAGTGCATAAAACAGTTCTTTAAAATGCAAAAATAAGTCTAACCATAAAAAAAAAATCAAAAGAGAAAAAAGGTGAAGGAAGAGTCTACATTCTAACAAATTTAAGTCTATAAAGCTTGTTTAGGTAAAATAACATAAAAAATAATTGTATACACACATATCTGGTATGTCAGTATGTCCATGGGTGTGTGTGTGTATGTGTACAAAGGTGTGTATGTGTCTGTATATATATATATATATATATACAAATACAGAGGGTGCCAAAAAAGTATACATATTTTAAGCGATGTTATCTATATAGCAGCAGTTTGCCGTAATCAGAAGTGTCTGGATGCTGATGGGAACCACTTTGAGCACCTCTTGTAATTGGAGAAGTCAAACGTGACTATATACTGAGTATTACAATTTTAATGCAGTTTTTTCCTTTCTTAAAATGTGCATACATTTTTGGCACCCTCTCTCTATATAAATTTATATATTTTTTTTCAGAAATAAACCTAAACAATAATTGTATTAGAATAAAAGAGACATAAGAAACACCATAACCTAATGTGTGGTTCTGAATTGGATGCCAGTTTGAGCAAGTTAACTGTAGTCATTTTGGGGAGTCAACTGAAGAAACAAATGGTTATGGGCTGGATAGAGGTGATGTCATTGATGAAAATAAGCAGATTGCAGCACAGTTTATAAGTATGACCTCAATTTCTACTTTTAAAATATAAGTAAACAGACATATCTAGAAGATATGCACTAAGGTCCTTTCCTTGGCACTGATTTCTGGGCGATGAAAATGTGGCTTTTCACCCTCCATCTCCATAATGCACCATTTACTGCTTTCATAATAAAGGGTTATATTTAAAAAAAGAAAGAAAAGAAAGAAAGAAAGAAAGAAAGAAAGAAAGAAAGAAAGAAAGAAGGAAGGAAGGAAGGAAGGAAGGAAGGAAGGAAGGAAGGAAGGAAGGAAGGAAAGAAAGAAAGAAAGAAAGAAAGAGAAAGAAAGAAAAGGAAAGAAAAGAAAGGAACCAAGAAACAAAAGAGAAATATAGCAAAACAAAGGAAAAAAAACGGAAAAAAAAGTCAAACAATAGGACTGAATAGTCACTCCCCACTCCCAAAAGGCTTGGGGGCAAAATTATGAATGAAGCCAGAATTAGGATGCAAGGTCTTACCCAGGTAACTGAAAAGAGATCAGGATTGCCTTAAATTACCAAAATATGTGCCCAGATCTCCTTTCATTTGGTCTATGAGCATACACATCGTCTTCCTCAGCCTGGCTGCCTTTCTTTACAAAGGACGATATGTAGGAGAAGCTATAGCCACTCTTTGGCCCATTCTCTAAGAAATGAACAAATGAACCAACAAACAAACACATAAATAAATGGTAAGCTATTGCAGGCTACCCACGCTGCTGCCATGAGAAACAATTTTCGTATTGAAAACTATCTTGAAAAAAAGATGGTATCGATATTCTGCAAAGTATGGAGTTAACGAATTTTCTCCCACATTTTTTCAAGTGTGGATTTACAACTGAACAGGCATGTAATGGTAGAGATCACATATTTGGGGGCTTTTTCAAGCTTTACTGATTACATAACTCCCTAAAACGACCTTGAGGAAGGGGTGGGGGTGGGGTGCCCTACCTCTGACTTACTGTTTAAAGGCCCTTTCACGGCCTTCTGTTCCTTTAAGGAAGAATAAGCACTCCTCTTGCTTCCGCAGTTCTTCTGTCTTTCTTTCTTTCAACCGCGCTTCATGCTTCTTTTTAAGCCATCGTCGAAAAGCTTGGTGTGGATCTCTGCTTTCCTCCTGATTACAAAAACAAGCCCTGCTTAGTTCAAATACACCCAAACTACTTTTTGAGGCCCTGCCTACAGGCCCCTACAAGAAGACATGTCCCACTCATCAATTTTTCACAGCCATGCCAACCTCACTCCCTGTACTGCTAGTATCCAAGCCAACACGTGGCTACTTCAGTAAAACGTAACATTCAGCACCTCAGTCACATTAGCTACATCTCAAGTGCATAATAGTCACAGGTGGCCTGTGGCTACTTTATTGGGCAGCAAAGATACAAAACATTCCCATCATTGCAGAAGGGTGTATTGGGCAGTGTTGCTCCAGATGCGAGGATAAGAAGAGGTGATTGATTGGGCCGGCCGAGTGGCACGGTGGTTAAGAGCTGGCTTGGGATGCCACATATGAGGGCCAGTGACACTGCCCTCTACAGCTGAGATGCTGAGCAACCTGGAGCTGGGCTGCCGTGAGTTGCCAGCAACAGCGTAGGCTACAGCCCCTGCTGCAGTGGGTTGCCATGGGCTACCGTGTGTAGCCAGCAGCCAGCGTGAGCGGCCAGCAGCCACAGTGAACGGCCGTCCAGAAGCCGGCGACTGATCTGCCTCGCCAGGGAAGAGCGCAATGATGGTGCCAACTTGGGCCAGTGAAGCAACGTCCTCCACAACTAGACTGAAGAACAAAACGACAGCAACTTGTCTGTTCCCCTTCCCCCAATTCCCCAGCACTATTCCCATCCCCCAATTACCCAATAAAATCTTAAAAAAAAAAAGAAGAGGTGATTGATTGATTGATACCTCAATTTCAAAGAAAAGTATGGTAGGAGAGAAAGTAGTAACGGGAAGGTGAGGACAGAGGATCGTATTTAGATAGAACGTGAGGGAGCCAGTTATGAGACATGTGGAGAAAGAGTATTTCGAGCACTGGCAACGGTAAGAGCAAAGGATCTGAGAAGGGACTGTGTTTTGCATGTTCAATAAATAAGGGACAGAGAGTATAAGGAGATGAAGTCAGGAAAGTCGCAAGGACCAGAACAGGCTCACTCCTGCGGGCGATAGTAGGAACTTGGGACTTGAATGTGAGCTGAGAAGCCATGGAGGTTTGTTTCTAAGCACAGCTGACACCATGTAGTCTGCACTTTAGAAGGCGGCTCACAATGGCTGCTGTGTGGGAAACAGAATGGACTGGGGGAGGCGAGAGGGAAGCAGCATGGAGGCGAGTTACTATTAGGCTTTTGCAGCAGCTCTGGCAACAGATAACAGTGGTTTGGGTTAGGGTGCTGGAGTCTGGATATAGTACTTTGAAGACAGAACTGACAAAATTTGCTCATAGGTTGATACAGGGTTTTATAACACGCTTTAAATGATTGTTTTTAAATTTTTTTCAGGATTTCTTTTTATAGTTTTATAAATCCAACCATATAAAATCAAACAATTCTGTATTACCAAAAAGAAAATGAAATAGAAAACAAAAGGTGAAAAGTAATGCAGCAGATGTCTCAAAGTGGTTTTCATAATGCATAAAGAGTTCACATATAGCAAAGAGAAAGAGCCAATATTCCGAATAGAAACGTTGACAAAGGATTTTTCTATGAAAGTTCAAACAGCTCATAGATGTTCAATCTTGCTGAAAATAACACTACAATCAAACAATACTTCCTATTAGACTGATAAAGCACACTTGAAAACACACTTCTTACTGCAGGTATGGGGTGTGTGTGTGTTATCTTTGTCCTATCTGATTCTCAAAGTTATACTCCCTTGAAAAAACTGGCAGTTTTCTATTTTTGATGCTATAAAAGTTTGAATAAAATAGGAATCATTTGATTTTTACAAGGCTTCTTTGAATATCTGTAAAGCCACCTGCATGTTGCATCTTTTGCAAGGGTAGTTTTTGTACTTCTCCCCCAGGTTCTTAGCCTGATAATCAGACTCCATTCTGTAAATAAATTCAGATTTCATATCTGTACGATACTTACTCTATTATTCATATCTTCCATTTGCTTTGCTCGCTGAACTCTCCTCATTTCTAGGATCTGCTGTCTTTTCTTTTGCAACCATGCTTTAAAAACCATGTCATTCTCCTTTTTCTTTTCTTTCTCCTCTTCTATTTTCTGTTGTTCTTCCTAGAGGAAAGAATATCAAAAGGCATTAATGGAAGATTAAAAAATCGTGTATGAGTTGAGTAGAGAGATATATTTTGAGATGTAAAATTAGAATTCCCTACCCCTGAAAATTGGGTTTCCTTGAAAAAAAAAAGCCCCTAATTTGCTTAGGGAAAAAAGACAAAAATTTTCAAATAAATTAAACTGTTAAGATAAAGTCTACAACTACACAGGTGTATGATACTTCCACACTGTTTAAGAATTCCTTGGGTCTCTCCTTCACTTCCTAGTTTACTTCTGGTATGAAATGCTCACATCAAGGTTACTTTCAGCAGTCACTTAACTTCTCTGCAACTCACCTTTAAAAGGAAAGGATCTGACGAAATCATCACTGAGTTCTACTCTAGCTCTAAGAGGGGTCATTCATTACTGTACTTTGCAAACCTGACAAGAAAGGGCCAAGGTAATCACGGTGTGTGTCCCACAAATACACATTCTTCGCACTTAACCACATAATCTAACAACAGAAAGGCAAAACAGGCAAGCAAACATATCCAATACTTTGAAGAACTATTTCAGTCTCTACTGCGCTTTTCAATCATGAAAACGTCTTCTGTTTTCTCTCCAAGGCCCATGTGTACTCTCACCTCTCTCTTTAGCTTTTCTCTCTTCTGTTCGAGCCGTTTTTGTAGTTCCTTCTGTCGAGGGGAAAGACAGTATGTTGAGGTCACTGGACACGTGCTCGTGGACTGAGTCCTGTGACTCGACTTCCCACTCCCCTTCGTCGGGTCTGAGTTGGCAGCAGAGCTTGGACCAGTCTTGGGGTTGGGTGATGGCAGAGGGAGGCAAGCCAGGGCCTCTTCCGCTGAGGGGCCATGCACCCCTGCTGTCGGCTGTTCTTTCCTGACACCGCTGTCAGATGAACTGGTAGACCCGGGGGACAACTGCTGAGGCTCACTTTCTGTACCATTAACATTATGAATGGAGGGCAAAAAGCCCTGGCTTTCGATGTCTTGTAAGTTCAGAAGTTCGAACTTTCCGTCCCTCTCTACTAGCACCTTCCGGTCCTTGTTTTCCTCACAGCTTTCATCAGCAAATGACAGGAACACGTTTTCTTGTCCGAATTCGCTGGAAATACATAACTGTGACAGTTTTCTGGACACTTCACTCTCACTTTCAAAATAATTTCTGTAGTTATCAGTGCCTTCCAGCGGAGGAACTTCCAGATCAACCAATTTGTCCTTGAACTTCAGCTTTCGCTCCCTCTTATCATTCACGGGTTCTTGATTCTGTAGAAGCTGGTTGGCCCGTACAATTTTCTCCATAATGTATCTCCTTACTTCCTCATCCTCATCCTCCTCCAGGTCCTTCCGGCTTTCCAGTCTGGCTTCCTGGAAAGAGTTTTCGCTATCTGAATCTGATACAGGATCCGAAGGCTGGCTACCAGGCACAGAAACGAAGTCCTCTCTTCTTGGTGAAAACTCGTCCTTCAAAGACGTGTCAGGGTCAGAAAGCTGTCCGGCGTGCTCCAGTCCTGTTTCATTCTCTTTTAATTCCTGGTTAATAGTCTCTTCGTTCCCACAAGCCATCTAAAAAAAAAAACAAAAACAAAAAACCATATAAGGTTCTCCTTTCAGTAAAAATTGAGATGCTTTGTCCATTTATATGGAGAAAATCCAGAATGGATTCTCATATTCACGTAATTTATTTTATGAATGGGAAAATGTATGTGCTTCTTGCTCATGTTTCACTCGCAATATTATATCTTGTATTTATGACCACCCCAGCAGAAATACATGTGACAACAGCATTTCAGGAAAAATTTAACTCTGAATTTGAATTTGATGCTACTAAGTGCTTTGGTATTTTAAAAAATTTTATGCTAACACATGAAAAGGTAACTATAAGTAACACAATATTATTTTAATATTTCTCCCTGTGTAAAATTCCCCTCCCTTTACATTTTCAGAAAATATTTTTTTAAATGTTTTCTCCTTGTAATATTTGTATTCTTCAAAAAAGTATCTTTCTCCCCAAGACCGTTAGAGGTCACTGTCTTTGGTCAAGTCCTAATCATTTTGAGGTTCGTATAATCTCTTTGGATAATTATTGCTGCTGTTTTCTGCAGGAACAAAGTCTAAATTCCAGATCAATTTTCACCTTCAGATCCTATTTTCTAGAAGAAAAAATAAGTAAAAGACTCTTTACTTTTTTCTCTATATTCATTTCCCTGAAGAGCTAATTCATCCTTAAGGTTTCAAATATTAGCTAGAAGACCATGTTTTTTGTTTTTCATTTACATTAAAAGTATAACCCCAGATTTTACCCAAGTTCATATATGGCAGAAATTAACTGTATTCATTTCCACTTTTGATGCAATTATATTATTTATTTATATTACATAAATTATAATTTTTAAATTATAATCTTAGCTTTATTAAGTGCTAACTTAATCCTTGTTCTCTCACTAATTAGCCCTATGCCTTAGGATACAACATTTAAATTCTCTATGCCTCAATTTTCTCCTCTATAAGATGGGTATAATGGTGCTTGTTCTATGTACATCAAAGACATTTTCTGAGGCTTAGATGAGATAACATATGTGAAACTCTTCAAGAATTACAAAACTCTATATTAATGTCTGTTATATATACCTCTATTATGCTGACACCACTTTTTTCTTTTTCGTTAATTAACCACTCCAGGTCCTTTTCAAAGTCATCTTCATATTCTTCACTTTCTCTTGAATCGGAATCTTTATTTTCATCCATTTTCCGCGTGTTAAGGAATAATGCTATAAGATGAAGAGGTAAGGTCTGTGTTATGTCCACTTCAGGGGCAGTATGGAGCATGAAGATTAGTGTTGAAGGTCAGCTAATCGACACACAGATGCACAAAGCATCGAACGCTCAGGATAAACACGCACCTGCATAGCCTAACAGAGACTTGCAAAGGCCGGCATTTCCTAGGTGCACCACTCCTAACCATCGCCATGCCTACCCCCAATTCCTGACACCCGAATTTACAGGGAGACGAAAAGAGGCGAATAAGAAGACTATCCGAGGCACAGAGAATAATTTTCCACATTCCCTGCGCTCCATTAAAATGCCTTGTCCAGGTCAGCGCACGTAGCTTAGCTTCTCATCTCCTCATTCACATTTTCTTATGTTCAAGAACAGTTATACTCATTCCCGTTTTCGGTTTCTCAATCCTTCTATAATTTATATGGCTAACTATAATTTGTGATCTGAGAGCTTTTTAAGTAAGCAATAGCTGACTCTCATTTATGGTACAAGTCAGGCGGTTGCCAACTCTAAATAAAACATTTTTTTTTCATTAAAAAATAACAAACTGATGCCTAATACTAGAAGACAGTGACAATAAATAGGGATGTCAGATGTAAGTTCATAAATGTTTGTGAAAATGGTATATAAATTTTCAGTCATTTTTAAGAGAACTAAGCTAAAGTTACCTATAAATTGAGGTCAGTTCCTAGCCCTGCTCAATTTTTTGTGCATAATTCTTTAAAAAAAAGCAGCATATAAATCTTTACCTATAATATGTCTTATATGTGTGTGAGCATACTGTGTATGTGTGTGTATGTGTGTGTGTGTGTGTGTGTGTATAATTACAACTTTGGCAAATGTTTGTTGAACACCTACAATATTCCTATAAAGGTTATAAAATACCCTATGCCCTTAAGGGCATGCAGTCTGGTACAGAAGACAAACACAAACAAATGCAGATACATGTAAGAAAGGTATATAGAAAGGACTGTGGAAAGAAGAAAAAAAAAGCAATTAACTCAGTCTAAAAATTGGAAATATTAAGGAAAGCTTCAATGGGTTTTGAACACTGAATATGAGAATTCACCAGCTGTTCCAAAGAGAACAGCCTGAGAAAGAACAAACACGGGAGGGCATGGCACTGCCCAGTGAGGCCTGAACATACACGTGCTCCTGAAGAAGGATCTGGAAGAACTGGGAAGGGGTCAGTTTGATGTCATATTACCTTTTCAAAAAGAAAAGGGTTGAGGAAAAATTGCGTATGTAGAGTTAATTGTCCTGAAATAGCCAAGGGTAGAACTATACACAACAATCTGCACACTTTCCACTACTGACTTAAACGAAAATAAACAAGGAAAAAACAGTGCTCTCGAAATGTACACAGAATGTTAAGTCCAGTTTCAAAAGAACTATAGAAAGCCGATCTTCAGGGCCCCAAATCCCCAGGACCCTGTTCCTATCTCTACCTGCCTTCTCTTGCTCCAACAACAAGAATAAGTTGCCTAAACCCGTTTTGGCAGTAGAAAGTACAGATGTCAAGAACACATGAGACCTGGGCACATTTTTTTAAGAATATAAAATGAGAGGTATTATGCTTGAGTTCATCAATTAATTTTGTTTTGGCCATTAGCTTCCCTGTACTCTCCCCAAGCATTTAGTCAGACTACCTGACCTGGTGCCAATTTTACTAAAGCAAAATTTATATTTTTTCCCTTCCACTGTTGGCCATCAAATGATAGTGAAAGCATCATTTGGGAGAGCATCCTTCCACTAGCAGCAGCAGCACAAGCTAAGTGATAAGATTTTACATTACTATGTGCAAAAAACATTTTAATAGGTTTTAGTGAACACTAGGTTCAAAGTGAATTTAAAAATTAGTGAGGATACCCCAAATGTCAATGAGTTCCAAGGCTGAGACTATGGGCGAGATATTGATGACGTATGTACCCCATTTCCTGTGCTACTACAGTTTAAAGAACAAAAGACAAGCTGGAAATCACTCAGAAGCTAGCGAACCAGGCAAAACGGGGAGGAGAAGGCAAGAAGGTAGGCTGGGAGACTAAAACGCCTTAAAACTAGCTTCTGAGGAGTACCTGAAAACCCTGGGAATGACAGCGTAAGGAAAACGCAGGCGAGGCATGAGGACGGTATTTGAATGGCTGCCTGTGAGGGGAGTTGGACTTGGATCACTTCAGTAGTAAAACCAGGATCAGGGTAGGCTGAGTGGCTCAGTTGGTTAAGAGCTGCTCAAGAGTTTGAGCTCTGAGCAACAGCAGTTTGATTCCCAGCCGGAGCTGAGCAGCCAACCGGTGGCAGGATGGCTCAGCTTAAAAAACAAACAAAAAGAAAACAAAGCATAAAACCAGGATCAAAGGCTGGAAACACAGGGGCAAATTTTGGCAAAATATAAGACAGCATTTACAGTTTCAAACTTGTCCTGAAATGAAGGAAGGTGCCTGTTGAAGTATTGCTTCCCTATCAAGGGAAATGCTTATACACGCCCAGAAGGCACGAATGTTTGAAAGGAGGTGGAAGCTTTAGAGCTAAACAGTTGAGCTAAATGGCCCTTCATGTTTCTCTTAGCTTGTTCTATGAGATACAAGTTAGCAAATAACTGCCAGCTCAGGAAAGGCAAGAGAATTTAAAAGTGAATGCATAGTACCATGATAAAGGGTATCTAAAATAAATAATCAGTGTCTGAATAACTACATTCAAGATTGAAAAACATTCTGAAGTCTGTTTCACTTAAATGTCATCTTTCCTTTGGATAGTTCTTGCCATTGGTTTCCTTTCCCTCTCATGACAGAGTTAGTTTTAAATACAGTGAAGAATTAATTAGTCAACCTAATTATCCAATTGGATAATTATAATGATTTCTAATGTGTTATGTGGACTATAACTCCTTCTCAAGATTTATTTCTCTTAAACTAAGAATACAAAATGGATTTCCTTAAAGGACTCAAAGGCTGCAATAACTTGTAAATCAGAGGGTAGGAGCAATAATATTTGAGGTGACCTGGAGAAAACAAATCAGTATTTCAGAGTGAGTTTATTTACCACTGCCTAGCTACACGACAGGCTAAATCACATAAGCTGTACATGTACTTACCTGCCAACTAAAATAAGGGTGCCGTGAATCATGTAGAAGAAACTAAAATTCATTGTGATCCAAAATACTTACATAAATAATACTATTTTTCTCAGTCACAAACGCCTTAGGAGAATCACTTTTTCAGACCAGGGGTCTTGAAATTTACTATTTGAAGATGTTTAAGTTACATAATTAATTGTTAGAATGGGATTTCGATGGAGCTCTTCAGTGATTCCTCCCTTAATTTTATAGTAAACATAGTTCTGAACTTGTAAATTGTTGCCTGAAGACTTTAGTAGATATGCTTTATTTACAAAGAATCTCACCCATGTGAAAACTCAAATTGAAAACCAAAACATAGCATCAGCATAATAAATAAAATGATTACAAATTAAACATATTAGGTGTTATTTAATCATACTATTGGGTTGTTGGAAAAGTCATGACGCAGTTTTGCAACAAAAAACATAGAAAAAATACATCATGACTTTTCTGACAACCCATTATGCCATGATTAAAAAGAAAGACATAAGGGAAGTGACCGAAAAGTTGCCTCAAATTTGAAGAGCCATTCTTTTCCTGTAAGTTCAAAAAGCTCACAGCTAGTTCCCAAGTAAACAAGGAACATAAAGCAGAAACTCTTGTTACCAAGTCCCTTAAGCCTTTGTCAGTGCGTCACAGGATATTCAATCCCTTTCAGTTCTTTTAATCTTCATCCCCAGGGTACTGGCCATATGGTACACAGTCAACATGTTTGAACAAAAATACAACTTACACAGAATCCTCTAACACTTATTCCTGGTGAGTTTCACACATTTCAATTTCAATGTTTATCATCAGTAAAAAAAAAAAAAATCCATGTAATTAGTGTGGACCAGAACCACCTTCATCATAGGGAACTGTAGTAAGAGACAGAAATTAATTCCTTCCTCCTGGGTGTCTGCTAAATCCCATGTGGGTAAGTGACTGCACATCTTTTCATATGAATCTAAGCTACACACACACACACACACACACACACACACACACACACACACACACACAATTTTGATCATTTTCTTTCGGGATTCTAAACATTCAAATATAGTTTCAGCGAACTCACTGACCCCCTCTTATCGCACTGCCTTTTAAGCATATGCTTGTTTAAAATATAAGAAAATGGAAAGCGTGTCAAAGAGAACACGCTTTAATATAAAGCAAGTACGGAAGCAAAATCAAACCCATAATAACATCATGAGGCCATCTGGCCCATTCTTCCTGCTGCATCCTGAAGACTGAGCTCATGAGTACTTTTTTTTTTTTATTTCATAACCTGTCACCAAGTATGACGATAAATAGAATTTTACAAACACCAGGTGATCATTGTCATTTGTCATCAGGGTCTCGAGGTACCACCAGCGAAGGAACGCGTCTTCCCGGAAGCTAGCGTTTTTGCAGGGACTTTTCCCTCCTAGGAGGAGAGGTTTGAGAGGGAAAGAATATGACGGAACGACGGACGACAGACGAAGCTACCCTCACTCACAGGGGTGTCCCCCACACAAAGCGAAGCCAGGCGTTGCCAGGCTCCGGGGACCCGGGACTCGGAAGCGTGTGGCACCAAAAGGAAGGCTCTTCCCGCTTGTCTTCCGCCCACCTCCCCGCCCCGCTGGCCCCGGCGGTGCCCCCTTTGCCCTCTCTGCCCCGCACGCCAGTATCTCCGCATCATCCTTCCCTTCTCTCCCTCCACAGCCCCTCCTGCCTGTATGAGATGCGGCGGCTGAGGTCACAGAGATGGCCGGGCGGGCTCTCCTCTCCTCCTCTTTCTAAGCTCTGACAGTTAAGGCGAGGGAGACCCTCGGTAGCACCTGCTACCGAGGCAGCCAGGACCCGGCTGCCATGGCAACGGCGTGTCTCCGCGTTCTCCATCCGGGCCTCGCTTTCTACTAGGGCGCGGTGGGCGCGCGCAGGCGCAGACGGACCGGTGGCGTCAGGCAGCGGGTTCCAAGGAGAGGACCACACGCCGTGCGTCACACACAGGTTTCTCGAGCGTTCGTCGGAACTGGCGACGGGTCGCTTGACTCCCTTGGCCGTGAATTTTTCCACCTGTGACTGTCTCTCGCCAGTTTTGGGGCTTTCGGGAACATCTTCTACAAGTATGTTTCGGTATATTAGTTTCTTCGTTATGAATGTCAAAAACTAGCTTCAATTTTCCCTGATAAGCAAATTGCTAATTAGTTACCAGATTTTTGACCCCAAGGTCTCTGTCTTTCGCTCCCCAATCAAAACCAAAACCGTTTTTACTACCCGAGAGTGATAAAAAAAAATACATGTATGATGTTTGCTCCAGCTTTCGAGCATGTCGAAATGATCTGAAATGTGCCCATATTTAAAAGGGTGACTTAGAAAGTGTAAATAACCTGCCCAAGACCATATATCTGTGGAGAAGGCGGGATGGGGTTCTGATTCGCACTCTATAGGGCAAATGAATGGTCACTTCCGGCCCTGTACCCCAATTCTTCTGTCCCTAGTTGTATCCCCTGTATCTTAATGCCATTCAGATTGTACGCCTTCTGCGCAGGGACCATGTCTTATTTTTGCCTTTCGTTGCAAAACACATCCTAGCGTCCTATGAATGTTGAGTTATAGAAATATGTAATACAGCTGCCTGCCAGTGCAACAGCTAAATACCCATTAATTTTTTTAAAAAGTACATGAACATAAAACATTAAGACAGAAAACGTTTTTTTGTTTTGGGTTTTTCTGCATGAAAAAATTTTAAGTCTTTGGTGATAATCAACGAATGCCTTAATGAAGCAGGTTTTGGAATGGGGTGTTAAAGGGAAGGTGCCCATTTGGATACTGTGAGAAAATATTGATTTGGTTTCCAGGATCTAATGAACAAATGACTCTCAGCTGATGGCAACAGATGCTTCCTTGGATATCAGAATATTTGGGGCCGTAACAAAGAGGCTAGGAAGTTTCAAAACAAGATGATACCTTCTGCCCTTGATTTAATTTCCTTTATTTTTATTTTTTTAGCTGAGCCATCCTGCCACCTGTTGGCAGCTCAGCGGCAGCTCAGCTCGGGCCGGGCGAACCGCCAGTTGCTCAGAGCTCACACTCTTGAGCAAGCTCTTAACCAACTGAGCCACTCAGCCGGCCCTAATTTCCTTTATTTTTAGAATTCAGTTAACACGGAAGGGAATGGACTTTTTCGGTTTCTAAAAGGGAGAAAGCTTTAAAAACAGATGAGGTATCAAGATGAAGACCAAGAAAAATAAACAGTGCAATGTGGTGCTAGGAAAACAAGAGAAATAAGGGCAAGTCAAAGGTAAAATCACAGCAATGGGAGAGTGAGTTAACAGGATGACAAGATTAATTGGGGAGGTCAGGTGAGCGGAAGGCTTAATATGAAATTTGTTTTAGGAGAAGTTATTACAAGATTTAAAAGATGTAATCCAAAGGTCCTATGGAAGCAAAAGATACATTTAAAATAATTTTGATTGAAAAGGGAAAATATATTGTAAAATATTTATTTAATAAAAATAATTTTATAATCTGTACAGAATTGAATAAAAAGTACAACAAATTATGTCCACGTCTTTGCAAAACTGTGTACAGTACAACTTGCAGATAGGGTTCAGCATTCTAGGAATATGGCCACACACCAAGATGGCAACTTATTAGTGTCTTAGGTAAGGGAAGGCTCCACCTGTATGCCACAAACTTCGAATTTAATTCCAGGGAAATACTGCTTTGGTAACATGAACAATTTGATTGTACCACAGTCCATTTTTATTTAAAAAATTAAATAAAATCCCTCAAACACCACTTTTTTTTCTACTTGTTTCTGAGTAAACAATTCCCTATGTAGCAAAAAAAAAGACAAAATATAAAATCAGAGGCTGCTACATTTATGACATCACTTCCTCTTCTCTTTCTTAGTGTTCTTTTCTTTTCCCTATATCCAAAAAGAGGTTGAAGAGAAAGGACCTATTCTTATCCTATTAATTTGCTTCTAAAGTTTTTGCTTAAACCAAATAAATACATCAATTTTACAGTCTTGACACTATTCACACTATTTAGCTGTGTCAGTCTAAAAAAGTTAACACCCCAGGTGAAAGCAGCTACCTAGATTCTTTTCAAGATAAGGCAACAAAGTTGGCTTTAAAATAGTTTTCATGTCTCACATATTCTAGCAGCCACTTGGTAGGCTGATCTGAGAATTAAATGTATACAGAATAATATCTTTTCAAGTAACTTGGAAATGGAATCACTAGCAATTGTTATTGTAAGCAAATATTCAAGATGATCTACCCTTAGAAGCAAAGGCAAATTTGATGTACAAAACACAGGAATCAAGTCTATCCTAGTTCCTGTCCCACTGAAATAAATCAAAAAGAGGCTCAGTTTGTGAAAAACACTTGGAATAATCCAACTGCTAATGACATCTTTATCTTGGATAAGAAAGGACAAGTAATATAAAAGCTATAAATGGGGATGAAATTATTTTTAAAAAGACCTTTTCATTTTATTTTGGAAATAAAAGGGAACGCAAATACAAAATGAGCTAGTTGTGTCTTTAACCCATATTCTCCCTTCTCATCATGGAATTAATGGTCCTTCCTACTGAAGAATAAAAGACAGGAAACCTACCTTGAGTTTTCTGATTAGGTCTCTTCATTTAGCTTATTAGCAGGCTTCAAAACTTGCCCTATTTTCTAACTAAATGAGCTTCTCTGGGAAGCATATGAATAATGCAAAAATGTACTTCTTAAAGAAAATCTACACAAATACAGAATTGTCAAGATGGAAACTGAGAATATTTATACAATGAATTTTTTAAAATAACTTAATATTAGAAATGACATATTCCTTACAGGACAGAAAAGCCGAGCAAATACTGCCAGTAACAGAAACAACTTGCATCTGTAGAAACAAACACGACTAACAGAAATAAGAACGAAACTGAACAGAGGCGGGGGCTGGTAGCACGTATTTCTGTCCTGATCTGTAACATCTTGTGGCCCCTGTGAAGCCCTGGTCCCACCAGGCCAAACTTCTGGCACATCAGATACAGGAGTACTCGACCTATGACACACCAGACTCACTCGCTATCAAGTATACAACACCACGTGCTGCTTGATTGCACTTGATTACTTGGTTTTCAAAATCAAGTTCACTTTTGAATCAGATTAAAGCCATCCTTCAATAACCCACAAAATAAACTTTACTTCTGGTTCCTCTGAACAGTATTATGTTACTATAGGACACAGAGAGGACACAGGTATAGTCAATTGGCTGCTCTGAAGCCATGAAATGCACATTCATATATATGTGTCTACACCTTAAAAAATTAAATATCTCGAGCGACAGTTGCTGTGCAGAGTTCTTGCTATAAGAAGCTCATCGGTAGTGCATTACGAAGTGGTTACTTGAGAACTTGATTCTGGATCTTCCTGCTTTCTGTATTTCTTCATGACAGTGACTGCACCATTAGCCAGGAAAACCACAGCGATGAGTGCAAAATAGCCAGCGTAGATCAGGAACTAAAGAGGGGGAAAGAGTTTACAGAATTAGCAAGGAGAAGATGAGCTGTTGGGGTACATATATGTAAACATGATCTATAATTAAAGGTATATTCAGTTTCTCAATCAAACTACCAAAACCACTGTGTGCTGCTCCCCCCACGTGCCAGGTACTGAAGACACCGAGTGCAAATCCTGACGACACCTTCACTAGCTGTGTGACCTTGGTTGAGATACTTAATCTCTGAGCCTTGACTTCATTTACGAAATGGAATTGATATTTCCTACTTCACAGGGTTGTTGAGAAGCCATGAGGTCATGTATGTAATTGTTTGTTAGCACAGCGCTGATACTATTGTGTTTATTTTTGTTGCTGATGTTGTAACTGAATCATGGTCTCTACCCTCAAGCTGATAGGTGGGTATGACTAACAAGCCAAGTTCTGAAGATCAAGAACTTCTGTTCTTCCCTAAAAGAGGACAGTAGAAGGTCAAGTATATTTCATTGTAGGGTTACTTTTTATAAGAATCATCTCTAAACCCACTTTGTAATGTGACTATAGTTTATCAACATCTTTGCTGTCTTACTAAACACTTACAAGCTGGTTCATAGGCGCAGTAAGAGTCGCTCTAAGTCTTTCACAGGATTTTTAAAATTTGGATACATTTTCCTACAGGAAACCTGTTAATCGTGACAGAGTTTCAGCACAGCCCACAAAATTCTAGTATTCCACATGTTTGAACCCACCATTTTTATAGCAGGATGACAAGGACTTAAGTTTCTCTCCCACCCTCTATCTCAAATGTAAGCAGCTAACCCTTGAGGTCTTCTCGAGGCTTTCACTGCTGGTGGCAGTTGGGAACCACACAGAAAATCACAAGCTCCCACTGCTCTGCACCCCGCCCCGCCGGCCTTTCTGAGGCAGCGAGATGCAGAGGGAGACAGTCTGTGTAGAGTCAGGTGCTGGTGTAAGTCCTGTCTCTGCCACACGGCTGCTGACAGTGTGGCCTGAACCAACACTGGCTCTTACTGAGCCCTCAGCCTCCTTTTCTCCAAGTCTAGTCCTGACAACTGCAAACTTCTATATAAAGTACCTGCCACATAGAAAGTGCTCAATGCACATTACCTCTCATTATTATTTTTCTTTTAGATCTCTTCAGTGAAAACAAAGTTAATTACTGATAATGCGTTGGGTATTTGTAGTCTCAGAAAACTAATACATAAATATGGAGGGAATAATGGAGAAGGGCTCATACAGCCTGGGCTGGGGAAGGCACTTTTTGATTTAGTGTCCATTTTGCCAAAGTACAGAGCAAGCCCCACCTACAAACTCACAATGCCTGAAGGCAGGTACAACCACACAACTCCTGAATGAAGGGAAGTGGCCACACCGCCATGGGTGTTTCTGCAGGTGTTCTCAGTAG